ATTCACTCAAAGACTTTGGGGTACTTGATGGGAAGACAAAGAAGAAATGTTTCCTGTCAGGATTAATGGAAAGAGACTGGATTCACTTGCTACAGCTCATTATAGAGAATTAGCAATGACAAATCACGTATGGCTGTGAGAGGCAGGGTGCTCTCTTCACTTTTTCCTTCTCACTTAATGAAAATGAGTGGCAATAGGTTGATCAAATGCCAGCACTGGAGCCAAAACAAGCAGTGCCTGATGGCTATGGTGCTGGTTGCGTTTCTCTGGGTTTTCTTCTTTTGCAGAGGATGTTGTGCAGTGCTGCAAACAGATGTGCTGCCTGTTAGGTTGCAGCACAGTGTGAGGGCTGAGCAATGCCTCTGCTTCCAGACATGAGCCCAGTGCTGGCATCACCACATCCTGCCTGGTGCTACATCATGAAATGTGCCCCCAGCCACATTTAACCTGCTGGCCCTGAGGAAAGAGGGAATTTGGCTTGAAACCCTTGGCTCCTGCCTAGTCACTCTCCGAACCATTTTGTAATAGCTTTAGTCTTGGCATCCCAGGAAAGATTTACAATAAGCCCTTCCTTAATGTTTGGTTTCACTTGCCCTTTTGAGCTAAGGTCAAGATCAGAGAGTAGGTAAATAGGTTGTTCCAGCTTGCAGACACCCAGCTGCCTTGTCTGTCAACTCTACCTCTGCTGCTAAACAACAGTTTATCAAAGCATTTGTTCTGTGTCCTTTTACTTTTTATTTTTAAAGCCACTAAAGAAAATGCCTATATTTAAGGCAAAGCACTGTGGCATCCGAATCATGCATGTATGAAACTGCATTGTAGTGCTTCCTGAATCAAATGTGTTACATCTGGGATGTAACAGGAGGGTTTTCTTCACAATTTTAGAAGAGAAGGAAAAAAATAAAATCCCAAGCTTGCTTTAACTTTGAGAGTTTTTTGCTCCAATGGTCAATTCTTGCCCTCCCTAGAAATGTCTTATTTTAATGTTGTGGAGGATTCTGCTAAATGAAATAGCCAGTAGGCACTGAAACTCTTTCCCAGTGTAAATACTAAAGGATGTGAGTGGGTCACATTTTGGTCTTTAGCTGGCTAAGTTATTGGTACTCAGCTTTGCTGGTTTGTTGTGAGACAGATTTTCCTAATCTATCATCTCAGCCATTCTTGCACCTCTTTACCTGAAACGTTGTCCACTTTCATTTTGTGGGGACAGTGGAGTTGGCACCATTTGTAAAGTCTTGTCAGTGCTGTGTCCAGGTGCCAATACCATGTTCCTGCTCTTCAGCATTGCCCGTCTAAGTGGAGAAAAATAGCCTGGTCAACCAGTCAGCTGCTGCTCCAGGAACTCTGGTTATTGAAATTACAGGAGTGAACTTTGATCCAAACTCATCAGACAACAGCTGAAAACAAGCAGGTCTTGTTGCCTAGACCTTACTGTATTAGAGGAAGGAGAAACTAATCCTGGTCCTTTCAAATAATTTCATGAAGGATGCACAAGGAACTTTCTGAAAATGTGCTTTAAACAATAGGAAAACAAAATCTTTAAGTTTCTAGAAGAGCACAGAAATAGTGAGATGGATGTGTCCCTTTTGCCCCTTCCAATCCCCAAGGAGTGGAACAGGTTGGCCCTGATATCTCTAACCCAGTTCCTGTGACACTGACTCCCAGTGTAGCCCTGGAGGAGCTCCTATATCCAGTGCTGTGCCTGGCTTCAGGCTGCTGGCCCTGGGGTGCTCCTAGAGGGAAGCCTGAGAGTGTGCGCTAGCTATAGGTCTTGGGATATGAGCTGATACACATAAAATCTTGAGCCTACTTGGTAAGAAAACCCAGAAGTGTTTCCTTTGGTGTTTCAGTCTCATTGTCAGAAAAGTAATACATATGAGGTTGTTTTCTTACTGTAAATTGGACTGTCACTGTGGAAAGGTCTCTTAATTTTCCATTTCTCCAGTGAGACCCATCATGTGTCTCCTAGCTGTGACTCTGATTATTTTAACATTTTCTCTCATTTTCCACTTAGTATTCCTGTGTGGCTGCTTATTATAAACTATTTGTTCAACTTTGCAGATGATTATAAGAACAAATAGCCTAGTGATGTACTGACCTTGTGTGTATCTTTGACAATACCGCAACACCCCCTTCCGTAGGACACTGCTTTTCCAGACAAGAAAACCAGGAAAGAGTGGCTGAATGCCATGCATGTGAAGAACACAGACATTTCCTTACTCACTCAACCCCAGATGTTCTTTTCCCAGGCCTCATATTCAAGCCTTCATTAGAAATTTAAGAGAAATGCTTTACTGTGGCTGCTGGCTTGGCTGCTTTTCAGGTTCAGAAAGAATCTCCTATATTCACAGGCCTTTCTTCCTTTTTCTTTTTTTTAATCCTTCTAGAAACTTCTATTATCTTCCTTAATAAACAGTACAGAAAAATATCCACATGTGCATAGTATTTTAGAGCTTCTTTGTAGCATGTTAATCTCAGAGACTAAAAAAACATCTCTTGGTCCCAAACTCATTTTTAATGGGATAGTAAACTAAGAGGATATACATGAGGATTATTCTAACCTTACCCTGGAGCTCTCTCCAGCACTATCTGGGATCTGTTATTGAACTGCCTTCTCCAGTGCTCTAGAAAAGATGTGCTTATCTTGATTTAACAAGTAATGATAGCAAAAGTCTGAGCTGTCATGCTCTACAAAGAATGGATTAGCTAATTGATTGTGAAAAGAAATACTGGGCTGGAGCTAAACACCCTTTGGGAGCTGTCCCCTCTTTGCTTTCTCCTTTAGTCCCTTGAGTATGTCTGTACATGGGTTGGGGTGGTGTTGGTGGTGCATATTAAACATAACTAACTCCTCCTCCTTCAAAGCACATGCAACGGACTGCTTGAGGTGAGCTGCTTCCTTATCTTGCACCTTTCCTCAAGCAGTCTATTGCATGTGCTTTGGAAGAGCAAAGAACCTGGTGAAGGTTCCAACCGAAACAATTCTATGATTCCTTTGATGTGCAAAGGCTTAACACACAAAGTCTATGTACTCCTCAAAACTTTGAGGGCTTAGGGTCTTAGATGAGGACAGCACCCTGCTCCAAAATGAGAAAGAGGCTTATTTCTGTTGAAATTCATTGCTTGCGGGTGGTAGGACTTGAGTTCACCTGGAGGTGATGAAATCCTAGCAAGCATATGTGAAACACACCCTTGGAATACCACAGATGCTCTTTTACTTCTCATCGCAGCAGGTTTATCTGTCTGTATAGCTCACAGCATGTTATTTCTCTTCCTTTCACAATGAAAATAGCTACATTTTGCTGTGAGACTCTGGTCTTGAATGCATCTTTATAGACTGCTTCCGGAAGGCATCACAGAATTCCCCAAGCAGAGGCGTTGCTGCTGTCAACAGCACAATAACAGTCACACACGTGGTTTCTTTCTCCTCTCCTCCCCTTTTCATCCACACCCACCTCCCCAGGATGAAATTTCTAAAGCCTTGTACTCTGCACAGAATGCAAACAGGCATCTGCTTAGTTACAAACATTTTTCTCTTTATTTGAAAATTTTCTACCCACCAATAAAAGGCAGCTAATACATTGCAGAGTATACTTTTCTTTAAGTATGCTTATTATACAGCATGTCTGAGAAAAGGAATGATTACTGGCTCTAACTTCCCACAACAAACAGTGAAGTTAATGGAATAATAAATTAAAGTAGTAGTAGTCCACATTATGTATAAAATAAATGTTAACAGAGACAAATACGATATGAATGATGACTGATTCAGTTTGCCTTCTCCTCAGGAGTTCAGTGTCTTAATAAAGTGGTTGCATAGGTTTTTATTAAAATGCAGCAGTGCTCTGAAACACAAAATCCACACAGGCTTTTTAACTGAGCAGTATTGTCTTCAAGAAAGGGGCAGTGAGAATGAAGGTGGTCTTCTGCCTCTGTGGTGGTTGTTGAGTGAGGCAGACTTCATGCTTAGCTGGCTCTGAGGCACTTACAAGGCCTGCCAACTGTTTACATTGTGGGCACTACTTATTTAGAGGACAAAACTCCACACACCCCTCAGTGTGTGGGAGAAGGAGGGTCATGCAACCTTAGTGTACTGGCCATCATCTTGTCATCATCCTATATAAGAGCTCATAGCTGGAAACTCAGTACCTGGGGCTTCTGTGGTGTTAACCCACAAGGAGGTTCTACAGGTCTTAAGGAAACTGCTGTAAGAGACTGGTCTTGTCAGTGTGCTTTCTTTGCTGTTTATCTGAACTCAGGTGGGTTCCACAGGATGGGAGCTGATCCTGTGCATGGGGTGAACATCAGGGTGCCATAGGCTGCTACCCATGCTGATTGGGCTGCCTTGAGCAGGAGACAAACGCCTGGGTGCATTTCAGAAAGTGCCAGATCTGCTGTGGGGATGTAGGTATTGAACAGGGACTATCCAGAAAAGCCTGGAGAAAGCAACTGGTCAAAGAAAGGAGCAGCAAGAGATTGGGGATTGGAATGGGATTTGAGTGGCACAGTCCAGACAAGGTGAAGATCCAAAAGCCTTTACCACAACAAGGATGCTGGCTCATGTTTTACACAAAGAGAAAAGTCAACCATGTTCTGAATTACAGAGTTGTAATTCCACCTTGAGGATCTGATGACTACAGCAACCACCTGAGCTTTGCTTTGACAATCGTATGCTCCTGGATGGAATTATAATCCTGTTGTATGTCTTGGCTGCCTGGAACTCTTTTCCCGTCTATCCTTAACACTGAGGTAGAAGTTTCAACTAGTATTAAAACTCACAAAAAAATTGAACACAATCTTAGTGGGCTAGTAGTTCAATGACCTTCAGAATTCGTAAGAATCTTCACAATGTGGCTGTAAAATGAGTAATTGAAGAAGCAAAAAAAGGTAATCCTAAAAATGTCAGAGCAATGGTATAAAAAGTACAGTACTGAGGTGCAAGATGTTTTCTTCATCTATTGGCTTAATAAAAAAAAAAACAAAAACAAACCAGATTTCCCTTTTAAATTCTCCCCCTGCAAAAAATAGCAGAAGCAGATTTTTTTTGTGACACCAGAGATATACTGGTATCCAAGTAAGAGTACATGATGAATTCCTAAAGGCATTAACTGTTTTGAACAACGATTTAAGTATAGATCATTTATATCAGTTGGCTTCAGTTGAGCATTGGTTTTATTTCCTATAAAAATACACGTTTACGTATATATAACTATACCTGTCTGTTGCAAAAAAAAAATCTGTGTTCCTGTTGAAGTTTATAAGGAAGATCGAAGTAATATAATAGTAGCAATAATCTTTACAAGGAGACATAATGACATATCATTCATACAGTATTTAAGGTAGACAAATTACCAATGTAATAATACTTTGTGCTTTACAACCCCTGTAATACTAAAGCAAGTTTATATTAATACGCAAATGAAGCGAGTTAAGCTACTGCTATAGGGGTTGCTGTTAGTTACCTCCACTGTACTCAATACCACTGAGTAAATGAGGTCCAAATTTCAGTTGAAAGAATGCTATTAGCTTGAATTTCATCCTATTGATTTAATTATTGCAGGAACGTGAAAATGCATTCAGTGTAAGAACGCTGTTAAAGCCGAAGGAAGAGGGGGAAAAAAAAAAGTTGTTCTTACAGCTAGTTTTCAAGAAATACTCGATGTTCCAGCTTTAATGCTACATTTTTAAATCAGAGATAAAAATCCATGAGTAAGGAAGACAGATACTGTTTATGAGTCCTCAAGGAGAACATTTCACTGACATTAAAGGCAACTCTGCAGACTCACTTGAAATGTATCAATTTGTAATCTACACATTTACAGGGGCTGCTCTGCTCTGAAAGCTGTTTCCCAATCTGTGCCAGAACATGTGAGGCTGTGTAGCATACTTCTGATGATAGACCTCCAGGCTCTGTTGCTCCATAATTGATTTAGTTATTAGTTATGCAGGGAGAGAAGAGATCCCTGAGGCTTGGTAAAACAGTATTCAGTTACTAAAAGCAGCCCTTTGTGAATTAATGTCATCCTACCAGCTCTTTCTGCTCATTATTCCTTCAAGTCTTGTTTTCCTGGACACCAGCTGTCACAGAGGAAGTCTCCAGCCTTTTCTTCTGCCTCCCTTGCTGGCTGAAGTTGCATGAGCACTGTCTGGAGTGTCTCCTTCACCACCTGGATCTCCCTCTGCAGAGACTGTGCAAGCTTTATTAAGGAATAAATCTATAGGTGATTGGCAGTCCCTCTTCTCTTTCCAAGTTATTAAATAAATTCTTGTTCTGCTGCTCACAACAGATGGCCGTGGCTATCTTATTGTAGCTTCAAGTTCTTCCAAATTGTTAGGATTAAATATTAATACATTTCTCACACTTGCTTTCAAAAAGAAGAAAAAAAAAAATCCAGGCAAACTGGAGTTCTCAAGTAGCATTATTTAGCACTTTAAAAAAGAAACAGGATGGGGGATACTGCTTGGATATTGTTCTCAGGGGAAGGAAGGAGATGAAGAACCTGTACCATGCAGGCAGCAGCACTAGCTGCAAGCTGTCTGCTGGGTGGAGGGCGGACTTTTAAGACAGAGCCACAGACCTGAGTGGATCAGACCCCAGATAAAGGCAACAGGGCAGCAGAAGCAGTCTGAGATGTAAGCCAAGCGACCACAGCTTGTGCAGCTTTAGCAAGCTCAGCGATGTGTGCTACACAAGGAGTGTTGGGAAGCTAGGTAAGCAGCAAAATTAGCTTATAGCACAGAAAATTTGTGCTCTAATCTTAGCTGAATTATCAGTATAATTACAACACAAACCCCACAAATACAAAGCTATAGGAGGTTTCACAGTGAATGCTTTGAACAAGTTGAAAAGCAAAGGGATTAGCAGCAGCAAGGTTATGCAGTTGTGCATGAAAAGGAAAAAGGCCACCAGAAATGCATCTGATAATTCAGTAAATATAGTTCATTCGGTTAAGAGAGTTTTACACATTTTATTTGCCATTGCGTATTTCAGATTTCCTGCAAGGCACTCGGGAAGAAAATTATGGCTAATGGATCGGCCTCTTAGGAGACCTTCCACTTCCCTCCTTCCCAGCTCCACAACGAGAGGCAAGATAGCAGGAATGAGAAAACGAGGGGTGCAGCAGTGAACAGACTGGCAGATGAAGGAAGGATATGCACGGGAGCTAGTGGCAACTGCCAAGACACACATGATTTTTAAAGTGGAGTAGCTTCTTAGGCAGCACAGCTTTTTGTTCTGGTGACTACTCTCTCCTGGGAATAAGCATAGTTTATACTATCAATATATCAGCCTTGCTACTTATAATCTTCTGTCAGTGAGACTATTCGTTGTTGACTCAAGCACAAGGATTGGGTGTAGATCAAATGACACAACCAACCTCATTTTCTCTTCCACAGGTTACACTGTGTGGAGAGCAAAGCAAGCACAATACAAGTCAGAGCCTGCTGAAGCTGTGAACCAACGAGCAAGCCCCAGGGACCACCCCTTCCACACTGAGGCCTCCTGCACAGGTATGGCTTGAAAGGCAAGGACCCCAAAAGGTTAACCCAAGCAGGCCATGAGAGAGAAAAATATGCTCATTTCTAGCAGTAAGACACCAAATGATCTCCGAGAGAGCCACAAACTCACTTCAAGGGAATGAAACAGGCTGACACTGAAACAACTCCATTTCAGAAATACAACGCACAGGAAGGATAACACACAAGGACAGGCTTTATCCTTTACAAAGCTCATCCATTATGAAATGTTGTTTTACTCGACCCCAATGTCAATGCAATGTCAAGAAAAAAGACACCCTCAGGTTATGTAACTGTAAAAAGTGAGCTGCTATGTTTGAAAAACTGTGACTAGAGAGGACCATGGGAAAGCCATACCAATCATGGCTATTTCAGGCAGTCACAGTTATGCCTTTGAAAAGCATTTTGGCTGCTTTTGATTCCATTATCAGGTCCTCAAATTTTCATCTTTGCATATTTACATACATTTACTATGATGTTTTAATACATTCGCCAGGAGTATTCATGTACACTTCTAGTTTCTGGACAGCTCTTATTAATATAACGGGATTATGTCTGTTATTACAAGTAATAGCAGCACACATAAAACTTCCCTTAGGATCTCAAAGGGCCATACAAGGACAAATTAGTTATGCTTTGCATCTTCTCTGAAGTAAAAAACATTATTATCTTCTTATGAGCAGTCCTGGACTGCAACTTAATCATGAGACTCTGTTGAAAACCTAACCGGTAGAATAGAAATTCTTCAGTTTATGAACACCAGGAAGCCTCTGAAATTAAATTACTTCTGATGTGCACTTTCTGGCTACACGCTGTTATTTGTAATATCCCAAACTATTACAGAATCTCTTTTCAGGTAGAGGAAAAAGCAAAAATAAAACATTTCTGTACCACTGGATAAGAAACCTTGAAGGATGGATGAAAATTAAGAAGACAGGGAAAGAAACTCTTAACCAACAGGAAGATGGAGTGACAAGAAAGATGACTGCATAGTCTAACTGCAGCAAATTTCAGTAACCTCATAAATAATACCACAGGCAGCTGTAGACCAGTAACTGTCAAACAAGCCATTATACCTAGGAAAAATATATGGTATAGGGCTCAGCACTGAACCTCTACACATATACAGAGGTTATGTCTGGATATAACTTACCCCATTTTAAATATGAAAAAAAATACTCTAGTTTTGCATGGATCCACATGCAAATGTATCCTTAACGCTTAAATTCTCAGCCCCAATGCTGCAAATACTGAGCCAGTATCAAAACAGAAGCCAAAATAAGTTTCAACTAGGAACATTTTCTGGTCCTGCTGTCTTTCTGTGAAATACTGCCAAAATCTCTTCAATGTCTCATAAGCAGTAAATTCAAGTATTTAGGAACAGCTTCACATAAACACAATCCAAATTCTGCAACAATAACACAGCTCTAATGTTGTCTGGATTGTAGCTTTTCAGCTATTTGACTTTCTTTCTTTAAAACACTTCAGCAACATGACAGTCAACGTTTTGCAAAGGAGATACAAAGCAGAGCTAATTATGGCAGACTTAATTTTTAGACAAAATGGGCTCATCGATGATCTTTTGTTTTCTCAGCTCAAATGTTTAAGCAGGTATTATAAACCAGTTGCCTTACTATAGGAAAGGTTAGAAACTAAGAGTATATTGCAAAACAAAATGGAAGGCTGCAGCACATGGGTGTAAATACACCAACCTACCTCCATCATACATAAACAATACAAATGGAACAATGTTCTCTCAATGCAACACACAGTGGAAAAGGCTCACCCTCCTGTCATTTAAAATAAAATCAAAGAAGGCACCATTGACACCTCTCACTCTTGTGGGATCCCAAAATTTAGTGCAGGTTCACCCAGGATGAGATTCCACATTTCTGGTTCTGTTGAAAACCTACTCTGGTGTAAAGCAAGATTTGATGGATCCTGCCATATGATCAAGGTGAAGGGTTAGCAAAGTGACCTGCAATGCATAATGAACAGGCACAAAATTCTGATTTCAAAGAAACTGTTTAAAATGCCCATTTACGGATGACAAATGCAGATTGCTTTTATAATAATAGTCCAGCCAGGTTTCTTCCAACAAAAGCATTTTCACCAGGAGGAACTATTACAAGCATTCAAATTGTCTATCAAAATGTAACTGCTAATTAAGAACAAAAATGACTGTGAAATTGCAATATAGGCTCCATTTAATTTTAGTGGGAATTCCAAGCCTTTACTGTCAGGAAAGTAACACCTCTCATCAGCTCTGCAGACACCAGAATGAGTCGCCTTTCATCCTTTGCTATTTCCAATTAATGATGTGGACTGTTTTCATACACTCAGCAATAATTAGCCATAATTGAATGTTCTGTGGGTTTATTTGGTTATACGACATAGAATTTAGCAAATATGTCATAGTGCTACAGAGGAGATTTTCTTCCCCCTTCCTCCCCCATTGTTTGATGCTTTTTATACAAAAGTACACTTTAATATTTGCTGTGAAAGGCTTCAATAATAACTGAGAATCCCAAATCAGCCTGTGCCTATACTCAGGACTAAGAAATAGCACTAGATTTCTCTTTTGTTCAGGTTGTGCTGGCAATTATGATGAGCAGCATGGTTGATTTAAGTGCGCTATGCCACCAGAACATAGAATGAAAAACAATGACATCTGGGATTTTTCTTCTAATGCAAACTTAATTATTAATCAAAGCTATGACACACTAAACATTGGCAAATGGCTTAAGAGCATCAGGAATTTATTTTTCTCAGTGGAGTCTTCAAAAATCTTTTAATAATCAGATGACAGGACTAATTTACATCTCTGCAGCCCCCCATTAGATTTTTGACCTAATACAGTTTGTAACATTTATTTTTAAGGCAGGGTTTGTTGTTTTGTTTTTGGTTTTTTTTGGGGGGGAGAGGGGTATGTTGGGAAGGGCAAAAATAACCAGCAAACAAGAGTTTGTAATGAAAGCAGGATAAATTTTTCAATCACAGATCTTTAAGCTCCTGCTCTCAAGACTTCTGCAGATTTTTTATGAACACTGAATAATTATCCAATATTGGGATAAGAAGTTCTTTTATTTTAAACCAAATAAACTACCATGCAAACAATAGATCCATCTATTAATCATAAATCATTCTACTGAGGCAGTCTAGTTCCTGCAATATAGGCACGTTACAATGACTGAAAATTTATTTTATAGGCACTGAGCAGTTTTTACTTAAAAAACAATCTACAGGTCTGTAGCACTGTGGTAGCTATTTTTCCTCATTCCTTTTTGAAGTATAGCACAGCAATTACATGTACCAGATGGCAGCATTTTATGCACATTGATCTGGACTACCTCTGAAATAGCAACTGAATGTTAATAAGGGGTAGCCAAATTGCTGAACTGCTTTCTCTGTATGTCCCTATGTCCTAAACATGGTTTCTCATTTTGTGGCTGGTGGTCTTGCTAAGACCAGGATATCACACAGTGTGCATTTCTGTACTTAGATAACATGACCTGAATTTCACCAGCAGTGGAAATCAGATCTGTATCAGACAAGCGTGGCTTAGAACGAGATTAATTGGCAACTCTTCTCAAACTTTCAATGATTAGATTTTATTTTTTCAACTGCTTCTTGTAGTTTCACCAGCTACAAAGAAATACGCACACTCCATAGAAAATACAAATGCTACTATTTTACTTGTAGTGTATTTCTTTCAGGAATCAAAAAGCAGTTTTCCAGCTTATTTCACCTTACCTAGTAAACTGTAATCACGACCAGGCCTGACTACTTGGTTTGAATGTGAATTTAAGTCCCCTACAAAGAATCCGTAACTCAATGTTCTTCTATCGGGATTAATGAGAAAAGCTTATTTGAGAGCAAATATGCATAAAGGAGGAATTAGATGCTCTGCACACACACAGACATACACATTCATATAGCTCTGAAAAGAATGATTGCAAAGAGCATCAGGGAAACATAAATGCAACCAAGCACACAGGCTGTAAATATAATTGAAAGAGTATCGCAAACTGGTCTGTGGTATATACAAGACAATAATCTATCTGTACATTTAAATACTTAGGAAAGAAAGATTTGAAGTAATAATAAATCAGTGACTGCCTTTCTCCCCTCCGATGCAGCACCTCCCGGTGCATTCTTCCCCTCTCTGCCTTAAAGTTTCTGGTTCTGATACCTTTACAGAAACCAAGTTTCTACAATAGGATTTTGCAATATGCTGGCCATAGATACCAAATTACCTAAACTACAGTGGTATTTCCATACACTCTATTTATTATTCTCTCTCTAAACCCTCTCCTGCAGGCCTGCCTACCTCAGGTTAGGAGGAACTGAATCCTTCCTCACCTCAAATCACCTTCAGGTGTCTGTAAAGGCTCTTCTCTTAATCTCTCCAGCCTGAATTTATTCATCTTTCCTCATTATCCCATTGCCTGCCACCTCTTTTCCTTTAAAACCTAACCAGCTAAGTACTCTCATCTTCCTTAGCCTCACTGGTTCTTATTATTTTTTCTCTTTCTTAGCTGAACAAAATCTCTTTTGTGATAAGCTTTTCTATGAAAGTTACAAATGAAACAAAACTGTGCTCTTACATTTTGAAAAATGCCCAATGAATACCTCATAAAAGTTAAGCAATCTTCAATCAGGTAAGGAATGACAGATGAAGCACAGAAAGATACGGGTGCTTTATAAGACAACATCTTATCTGGTTACTTGCACTGGAGAGTTAGAGGCAGATTAAATTGCATAGGATGCCACATGATGCACCTGCTGCCCATTTTTTTTTAAAGGGAAAACCCCCAAACTACATGTGACAATATGCACAATTTGAGTCAATGATGTAGCATTTAATTTGGCTAAATCATGTTGGGAAATGCAGGTGCATGGATGCTTGTATGCATGCAGCTTTTAGTGTGCTAGGCACTTACTTATATGAGCGTTACTAACAAAAGGATTTTAGCAGTAGAATAAAGGCTTTTCAGTGCCTAATCTCAGTGTGCACAGAAATAACTTCTGTTTAAATCAGTTAAGGCTGGATCAGACCACAGTGAAAGTTCACTGTAGGAAAACTTGCTACAAGAAAAACACCCACTTCAGCAAGACAATCAATTCTCACCTTAATGTATTCAATCTATATTAAAAACTAGTATTCCATGTGAACCTGAAAGACAAGTATTCCACATACATACTTACATAGATTGATACATACCTGTAGCTCTATCAAAAAGGATATGAATATCTCCTTCATCAACTCTGCAGGCAGAACTTTGCAACTGATCTTCCAGGTGCACCAATTTCTCACTTATTGCTTTACATTTTTCTCCCAGCTCTGCTGAAAATATGAAGAACTCCTACAAGAAGTTGGAAAAGAAAAGAAGCCATATTTTCTGCTGACTACAATTGTCTACATCAAATTTGCATCAAATTAAGGGGAAAATATTAGTAAGGGGAAATGATACTTTGCAGTGCTAAGACATTGCCTGAAAGCAAATTCCCATTAGAGAGACAAAAAGCTGTTACTGTACAATAAATAGGTGGTTTATGTGAAATGGAATAAACTTGTGGTCTCAGTCTATTTCTCAGCACAAAAAAAAGTCACGATCTCACTTTCAGCAGATGATTAAAGGGGTGTGAAGACTGAACTGCTCCCCCTCTTCCCTGTTGTCTCACCATAGCAGGGGAGGAAAATCTCATGCTGACTATGCCATTTAGGGCATAGTCAAACTGTTCATGTAAATATGATTTACACTGTTGGGCCATTTAAAAATTTAAAAGAGACACCACTTGTGGTATCTCTTATAAATACAAAACATACTTACTTTTTTGAGGAAAAATATGGTTAGAATACCTAGGGACTTTGTTCAACAGACCAGAGAAAATGCATCAAAGCCTTAAGAGATTACAAAATGAAACTACACTTTTTGTGTTATCATGAAATGCTTATTTTCAAGAGTAATGCTTCTCTACTTACTTACACAGATAAACTCTTTTTTTCTATTTTAAACTGAACATTTTAAACCAGTTGCAAAGTTCTTCCCCTAACATTTGCTGCACAATAGCATTTGTATCTTCATATTTTGTACTTTTTATTTCTTTGAGAAACAACCCAAAAAAGCAGAAAATACAGGAGGGGGAGAGAAAAAAAAAAAATCAATTTGGGCAGCACTGACACAAAGCCTCTCCTCTCCTTCCCAAGACATCATGAAACTGTCTACAGTGATTGATAAGGGGTACATGTAAGGAAATATAGTGCCAAGATGAAGTTCTGCTGGAGCCATGTTCACAAAAAAGGAGTCATTCATCTGCTGGAATACAGAAGAGTGGACTTTTTCTAGACCTAATCTATACACTCATCCATAAAGCCAGCTGCACATGTGGCCATATGCAATCTTGATAAAGATTTTCTCCTTTAAAAAAGTACTTGAAGTCCTTTGCAGTGATCTGTTGCTATGATAGCAGTCCATCAGGGGTTGCTTAAGAGAAATCAAACCTTCAAGCAAAGGCCTTCCAAAGAAATTGTGCTAATACTTATTGGAATGCTGCCCATTGTGAAACAATCTGATTTTTGGTAAACGCTTTCACCAGACTTCAGTTCTGTGCTACCCTTACGCTTCATGTCACACAGTACATACACAGAGTCAAGTGTCAGAAGAACTCTGCCTGCTGGCACATCCTCTGTTACAGCACAGAGCTTTGACCCTTCTGCTTTCCTAGGTCTTCTGCCAGACATGGCCATTCAGCAGACCACACGGGTATGCATCCAGCTGCTGCTTGAATCCTGGATGAGTGAGCTGGTTATGAAAGGTTATGTTGCAAACAGCCACAGCTTAGAGAAGCACAGTGTAAGAACCAGCTGGCTGAGTCCCTGACTGCATATGAGTCCCTAGCAGCCATCTTCAGAGTCAGTACCAAACATGAGAATCTATGACAGCACTCCACAGAATTTACAGACACAAAAGTGACCCAGTGTTTCAAAGATAAGAACAGGGGAGGAGAAGGTACACATTCTCACTACAGCAACTAGGAGTGTCCTTTTCTCAAGGCCAGGAACAGAAGACGAGTAACAAGTCTTCCATCCAGCTGCTAAATCATTGTTCAGCACACCAGCAGGACTCCGCATGCTATTAGGGAGTGGAATAACCCAGGCTATTTATATCAATAGAAAGCTTTTAGGGAACCATGCTGTGACATGCATGCAAGAACCCACAACAGTGGTCTAAGAGAACTTAGGTCTCAGGCCAGAAGAGTCAGTAAACTGCAAAACCGTAGTACTCTGAAAGCACATCTAAAATTCTGAGCATCTAGAGAAAGATCCAACTCAGAACACCGATTTTCTCTAACAGCTAATTACACCTAAGAAAAACAGGTCTTCACATAACCATCATCCCAAACACAAGAAAAACAAGTCAAAAATACTCAGTTTGTCCGTTAATTAAACGCTGTTATTCCTAAAATAAACTGTTCTGTGATCGTATGGCACTAAATATTGCTCTGACAGACAAAAGCCATAGGTGAAGCTTTCCAGACCAGCCTCTTTCTCAGACTGTGTACTCTGACAAAATGCATTAGTCCTGTACATATCCCGAGGAGCTGCTATGTCATAGTGACACATAAAAAGCTGATTCTTGCTCTTACAACATCAAGGTATTGAACGCTTTAGTGTGATCCAGCACTGCTTTCATTAAAAACTATTACCATATGAGATTTTGGATCACACTAATGCTGTCAAGGATGACACTTCTAGTCCCAACTTGAAATCATCAGTTACTACAGAGAGCAAAAAAAGAACAGTACATGTTACAGCACGCTCTTGAATACCTGTGCCATTCGGCATATTTAAATACAAAAAGCATTATAAAGATATGCATTACAGTAGGGATCCCTTTCTTTTTTAGTGTACTGTTGATGGCTTGAACATTTATCCAGATAATCTCTTAACCAATTAGCAGTATCATCAGTAGCTGTAAGAGAAGATCCATTTCCTCCACTTTAAAACTGCCCTTGCGTTTCCTGTCTCATACATGCAAATACTCAAGAGTTCACTGAGCAGCTAGTCTAAATGATAAGCACACTAGATGGATTTGCCCAGCCCTGCTGTGAAGATCCACTTTCCCTGTTTGCTGTGTCAGTGAACTTACAGGGCAAAATGGGCCTTTTAGACTAACCCCCTCACTGAACTTCAGGTGGGTTAAAAGATGCTGGAGACAGCATTTAGATACCTGGTTGGCAAAACAGGCTCCAAGCTGCAAGTGTGGCCTACCTCTGATGCACACAGACCCTGAAGATCCAAAATAAAATAAATATAACTACAGCCTGAAATCTAGTGTGCATAACTACATTATAAGTGGATAACTACACTTAATGGTGTACTGCTATATAATCTGATTTCATGTTTGACATTTTCTTTCCCCTTTTAAAATAAAACTTACAGCAAAGTAAAGTCCCAGGAAGGATGGTAGTAACTAACTCAGCAAACAAGACCTCCAAGGCTCTTGGACTTCAGGTGAATGCTAATTCTGTAGCAAAGGCATCTCATGGTGCTTCAAATCAGTACAAACCTGTATTGGGGATTCTAAGACTTGGTTAGTAGCTTCTAACTCACTGCAGTTCCAGGCAAGGACTTTATTGGTATACTGATATCACACTAAACGTGTTTAGAAATAAGAGACTGTAATTTTTATCACTGGCTTTAATTCCTTTGTCAACCAAATATTTAGATTCTCACTTAAAGTAAAACGTCCATTCTATCTCAGAAGAAAAACAACAGTGTAGTGCTCCTGAACGATCACATTTTGAGTATGTAATGAATTGTCTAAAAATATAACAAAAATCCCATTTACCCTGGAAATGAATATAAAATGAACAATGAGTACTAGGACAATGTGCTCAATGCAGATTTTTTACAAGAATAAGGGAAGCCAGGAAATCTGAGAACATAAAAATCAATCAAGCTTGTTTAGGTCTTTAAACACTTGAAACCCATTTAATCATATCTATAAGGCTATAGTTGCACTGCAGTGTAACTAAAATAACTTCATAAGGTAGGGGTTATATTCTATTAATCTTAAACTCCTAATAGGTATTTTGCAGCTTAATTCCTCTTTACTACAACAATAATCGTGTATGGATAAACTACTTTTTGCACCTACATGACACAGCTGCATTTTTAGTTGAAATGAGAAGTTCCTCCATGGTTTAGACAAGCATCATCCCTGAGGAACTTACTCACAAGCATCACATGAAAAATGCAGAAAGGTCATCATATGATTTTCCAGAACATGTATATATTGCCTTTCTTATTTTGGATTGGAAAGATGAGGTCATGCAGAGAACTCTAACTGAACAGGAGGAAGAGTTACAATAGGAAAAAAAATATACTGCTCTCAAAATATACAAGAATAATTCTAAAAATTCAACCAATTCCACAGCTTCTACCCCCAGGCCCTTGTTTGAGAAGAGTTCAATAAGCCAGAGACACAGATAGGAAAGATTTCTCTCAGCGCCGCTCACGCCTAGCAACGTCACTGGTAACATTTTTATTTGACATTTGTCTATGTAAGCAGGGAAAGAGCTATCGATGACACACAAACTATTCAGAACAGCTCCTGGTTGGAAAGTGGCACTTTACACTGATCAGCATCTCTGAGAGGAGAGTGGACTCTGCCTCCAGCTCAACACATTAATAAAATACAACTCATCCAAGCTTGTAGGTTATGTCAATGCTACAAGCTACTGTAAGATTTAAAAATACTTTGGTTATTTTTGTACTAACAGCACTTTCAGGAAGCAGATAGGAAAGACTGCAGGAGTCAGAAGAGAGCTGAGATGTAGTATTGCTTTATGGATTTTTCTGTGAATGGCTGACTGTAATCTCCCCACCCCCCTTAAGCAGGTGAAAACAGCACAAATGTGGGTGCAATTTGTTATTTTTTTAAGGTGAAATTCTTCTGTTTTCTCATGCAAAGTAAAAATTTTCATTCTGTCCCAGAGATGTGAGAGTCTGATGCAAGAAATGGGAGGAACAATGTTTCAGCTAATGCACAGCTGGAGCAACAGCATCTGAATTAAGGGCAGAGGAAAGGGCTTCCACTTTAGTCTTCTGCATTCCATTTTACCCTTTTACAAATCATTTTAGTCACCTGTGAGCAACAGCTCCTTGACAGAATTACTCAAGGAAACCGTTTGATCAGCTTTTCCAGTGCAAACATCTTCCACCCTCTCTTGGATCTAGTTCAGCAATTTTACATGGAAGAATCAGTATTGTAGTAGCTAGATTAAGCTAACTCTATTAGAGACTCTATTAGGGATTAGAGCCACCATTAGAGTCTGTGGTGGTTTTGCTGAGAAGCAAGATTCCCCGATATATCCTTAAAATTAATTCTTCTTACAAGAGGAATTTTTGTAAAAAGGTGCTGCCTTACTTCCAACTAACAATATCATAACCCCAGTAAGATAAAAGCCCTAGATGACCTTCTGCAGAATATTAAAGCCTCAAAGATTAGGAGGTTTACAAAGCATAAATCCTATCTCTCCTACAATCGTTAAAATAATTCAAAATAACAACTACAAAAAGTTGGCCTTGCAGATACTTCACACTATGGCACAAGGTTTAGAACAAGTGACTTATCGCTGGCAGCAGTGCCGCATTACCCTCACCCCTTTGCAGAAGTTAATGTAAACCGTGAGCACCTGAATCTCCAGAACATCAGGCCAGGGCACCTCTTAAATCATTTCTAGAAACAAAAATGCAACCATCCATCTGTTTGTCCTGCACAAGCAGATGCTTCAGTCACATGCAAGCTAAGCACACAGGCTTTCAGATAGTGAGTTACGCTGCCACAGACTGTCCAAAGTGCAGGTGGAGGCAGGACATTTGTCCCTGCATTGTGGGCACTTTGCTGGGCAGGCCTAATCTCTTACTCTGAAAATAAGACACGTAACTCATTACCAGCACCATTAAGGTGACTGGCAAGGCTGATGAGGAAGCAGCCAGGGAGCACCAATGCCTGCTCTGTGTCTTGCAGCACTCTTAAGCCCACTGTAACTCTCCTCAGCCGCCGTCTGTCTACACAGCTCTCAGCAGCTGACAGAACAGAGCCTGCTCCAGGGCTTAACTGCCCTTGGACCGAGCAAATCTTCCTACTGCAAATTTCCCTTGCTACAAACCAAGATGGCCACATTTCATTTTATCTTTCTTCATCACACAATGATAACGAACCAGTTGTCCTCTACATAATTATTTTTTATGCAACTGAAGCCTTTGACTTTCAACCAGATCAGGATTTCTAAACCTTTTATTTCTGTTGCTTTCCTTCAGTGTGTTCCTGTCTTCTACAGTGAGGTGCCCAGACCAGTAGTCCTCTGGAGTCTTTGACATTCTCAGCTAAGCACAGTAATTATTTCTGTCTTACAACTGACATTCCCATTAATGAGGCTGCAAATGACATTTGCCCTTTCTCAGATGACGGTAATGAATCCCACTAGCTGTAGTCCACTATAATCTTAGCTTCTGCAGTATTGTCATCTTAACTGCTATTTACCACGTGTATACATAAATCCAACTTTTTTCTTCCTCAAATGCAATTTGCACCTGTCTTTTAACACATCCCATCTTATTGATTTCAGGCTATTCTTTCAATCTATCAAGAACATTTTGAATTCTAATCCTAACTGAAATTATGTTGACTGGCACAAACTCCTGGCCTGCCTCCTTTTTAAAGGCAAATACCAAGTCTGCCTTTTACTGATCCCCTGAGACTTCAAGCTTCCTCCAGGAGTTTTCAAAGAGGTTTGTTAATGGTTTGGAGATTGCTTCTCTTGGCTCCTGTGCACTCAGAAGAAATTTCATCAGTCTAGCCTGACTTGAATACATCTTACTTGCCTTAGGATCCTTTTCTGTTTTCAGTTCTTGCTACCTTGAAGTGAATATTAAGAGCACTGCATTATGGACATAGTTTATCACTTTTAGAAAGACCAAAAGCAAAGAAAATAAGGAATAGGAAAAAATACTTTTGCCATCTGCTCTCATTTCAGTATTTTCTCATTCACTTTTATTACTAGAAGACACGCATGCTTTCTCTCACCTACCCCTTACATACAGCTTATTCCTGAACTCCCTTGACATTTTGCATGTCTTTTATTTACAATACCTTAGTACATTCAAGGGTCTTGCTGATGCACTCTTACAATGTGCAGCAGTACACATTTAGGCTCATTTTTATCCTTTCCCTTGCAAAATTCTTTTGGACCACTGAAGAGTTGCTGACACAGATACATAGATTGTTACCGTTTGCTTTTTTCTGCCCCAAAAGGAGGTGGTGCTGTATTATAGACACAATGTCTTCTGGAGGTTATCAAAGATCATCTGCTGATTCCTCATCTTACAGAAACTCTACCTGTCTTTTCTCAGAAGAGGGACCAAGGCTCTTTCCCAATTACTTTTGCTCTTATTACCTCTCACTTACAGACTGCTAGCTTGTTCCATCAGTCTATGTTTTTTTTATATATATATATATATATTTAGAAGACTGCAGCACTACAACACATTCCTCAGTTTCTCATATGCAACAATTCAGGCATAAAGCTTTCCAGACTGCTGTTTTGCAACTATGTCCTACCTCCACCCCATCACCACATGCTTTTCCCACATTCCCTTTGCTTGCACTGATCGCCTTCCCTCAACCATAGGGATATACCACCACATGGGAGTGTTAAATGACACATCAAAATTACAGCCCGATGCTGGCAATCCTTCCCCTCATCTTCCATTACAGCAGTGGAGGAATGTCCTTGGAAAAGCATCTACATAGGAATAGAGGTTTCCACTGCCTTCCAGCACCCTGCTGTGGTCTGGGTGACAGCCATTCTCATCTCTAGTAGACTGAAGATCTTCCCTGAGTGCAGATTCCCTAAAATGCAAATTTCCTAAACACTACTGCACTGACTCATTTCATTAAACTGGGACAACTCCTGCTCCTGCTGTGGGAGGATGAGGCTATTTACTGACTTATCAATAAAAGTTCACAGTGGACCAGGACTTGGAAAAGAAACAAAAGCACCAAACTGTTTTCTAGTGTCCACACCCTGGTGTGCTAGGAGTCAGCACAGCTGGGTATCACTTACAGGTGGTTTCTAGTATTGTTCACTCCCATCTCTGATCCTGAGTCACTAAGATGCAAGAATCTGAAATGACTAACAGGGTGCTCTCCTGCAGGCAGCAGGGAGACTGACAACAGTGGATTAGGGGACCAGAGTATCAAAGAAGCATTTAGGCAAAGCCCTGACATGGTAAATGGTGCTGACAGTTTCAGAGAGCTGTCTACAAGTCAGCATCAATCCAGCTGTGGCAGTGTGGTAGGGCCTGGCTTTTTAGTAAATTTCCATTTCCTTTATTTGAATCATTGCTCTCTATTCTCTTGATGCAGTTTTTCCCCCTCAAAATTTAAAACCGGCAAAGTTTCTCTGCCTGTGAGGACTCTGACGTATTAAACTGTTAGTGAATACTTCTGCAGTGGCAGCCCTCTGTGCCTGTGAGCCCTGGTGCATGTGTAAACCCAGAACACACATCACACGTGCTCTGGGCACATCTCCTGTTAAGCAAAGGAACAACTTCAGCCAAGGGCTGGGTTCTACTACAGCTTTCAGTACAGGTCACTGCTGGACACAAACATGCAGTTGTACTCTCATTTGCTTTGGTCCAGACCATATGGGAATGTTTAATTTCCAGCTGTCCTGGCAGCTGCCACTTCCAATGTGCCCTCGGTGTTTTGCCCCACTGGCAGTAGAGCTTTTTGCTATCTTATCCTGTGGGACTAACTGCTCCTATTTCAGGTCATCTGTGGATACAAGCACCTGCACAGTTTTGCTTTAATTCACAACAAAGTTCAACAATAAGAAAGGCTATCTGCATATTCTACAAAGTTCACCTTCACTCTAAAGGCTTCCTGGTTTTATTAATGCTGAATCCACACACAGCCAAGCAGTTTATCCTAGGTGTGCTCTCACGTCACAGTCTCCTTGTATGCAAGGTCAGCAATCCGAGTTTGGTCTTGCAGTTAGATTATCTTTCCTGGAGCATTCCAGTTGCTCCACAGATTTCGGATTCATGGTAACTCTGAGGAGTTATCCCAACTGCAGTTTTTATTTATTTAGTATTCCTTGGCTGAGCACTTGCCACTTGTACTTTACATGTGGTATATATGCTGTTATGGAAGGTGACTGGGGGTTACTCACCTGTGTAATTAATTTTCTGGCTGGACACAATGCTTGCATACTGTATTTCCTTAATATGTAAGTTGCAACCCAAGGCATACCAATAAAAAAACCAGACCAGACTGAATTAGTACAGCTCTTAGAATCAGTATAACTCTCCTTACACATCTATTATCTAAGCTTTTAGTTTGTGTGTAGACCGATTTTCCCTCATCACTTTTAGCAAATGCATCTCCTGCTACTCAATTATCCTAGACTTCATTAAACATATAGACTAGGACCTGATGTCTTTTTAGTTATGAAAAGAGTAAAAAAAATGACAACATCCAGTATTTTATTCAGATGAAATTCCTATTACCCACTGTGCCTAACAAGCCACAAAGATGATCACAGGGCTGGAGCACCTGTCCTACAAAGACAGTCTGAGAGAGCTGGTCTTGCTCAGCCTGGAGAAGAGAAGGCTCTGGGGAGACCTTAGGGCAGCATCCAGTGTCTAACGGGGGTCTACAGGAAATCTGGAGAGGTAGTTTGTACAAAGGCATGTAGTGACAGGAGAAGGGCGAATGGCTTTAAGCTGGAAAACGGTAGTTTAAGATTAAGCTATAAGGAAGAAATTCTTCACTATGAGAGTGGTGAGGCACTGGCACAGGTTGCCCAGAGAAGCTGTGGCTGCCCCATCCCTGCCAGTGTTCAAGGCCAGGCTGGATAGGGCTTTGAGCAACCTGGAAGATGTCCCTGCCTGTGGCATGGGATTGGAATCAGATGATCTGTAAGGTCCCTTCCAACCCAAACCATTCTATAATTTTATAAGTGTCATTAGTTCTGAGGCCCAGAAAAGTCCATACAATACCACTACACTGTCTAGAAAACACTTACCTCAGATAAACGACCCTCTGCTCCAAATGAAACATCTTCTGTAACCTGTTAGAGACAAAATTATTAAGTATACGGTAGATAAATGCTATATAAACAGTAAAATTTCAATGGAACTTACAAAAACCATATAGCACATTAAAAAATTATATAAGGAGAACAATTACGTCATTTTCTTTCACAAACATGAAACATTTCAATTACATTTATAATGGAACATTTGTAGCCACCCAATATTTAAAGCTAGATTTGAGTACATTTTACTAAAGCCTGCCTTTGGCTTCACAGTTAAAACCCACAAGGAATACAGCCTCTAATGCTGAAGGACTAACTACAGATTAAACCAAACTTTTCTATCAAGCTTTTATGGATCTATACACTATTCAGGAGTCTACAAGAATTTTCTGGCACAAACCCTGTAAGTGACTTCGGGCAGGACATACAAGAGACCCCACTGACGATTTGTATTGTTAACGCATGCTAACTATAGTCAATTCCTCTTTCAAAAATTGCTTCATCTGTGAAGTCTGTAAGAAATTAGCCAAAAATTTATCAATGGCTGAGGAGCAAAGAAATTTGATGTTAATGTTATTGTATAATCATTAATTCTTATCACATATAACAGTATTGATAATCTTGCAATAAGCTGAGATAGGGCTATTGCTTTGGTAGGAAAACAGTATCACAGATATGTACATATATATAATAAAGTGCAAAATCATTACTCTGCTATAAGATCATTATTATTGCTAGGTACTCTTTTTCAGTAATCTATCTGAAAAGAGATTGCTTAGATTTCTTTTTCCTGTAATACTGATTTTTTAATTACATTTTTACTGCAAAATGCACATAAGCATTAAGGTTACCGAGATGCTAATGAGGTAGTATTTTTACCAGTGGATACTGCATATCAGGATCAGACGCCACTCAGGGGCATCATACTGCACAACAACACATGTGACTGTACAACGATGATCTGACCCTTGTGTACAAGCCAGCTGCCTGTTGCAGCAGAAACCCTTTCCAGCTTGGATCAATACAAAAAACCACTCAAACATTGACTTTCAGTGATGCTTAATGCTGACATTTAAAATGAAGATTAACGTTTCTGAATTATTTTTGCAGCTCTACAAATACAATGTTTAATTAAAACTCAAACGAATGCCAGTTTATTTAGCCTTCTAGAGGCTTTGTCCTTTACACATTGAACATTTGCCTCCTGGAGCACAGGCTATCTCAATGCACAGTAATGAGTTACAGCCTGCTGACAGAGGCTTTCTTGGTGCTTGCTATCATTACATTCTGAAAAATGTAATGTCATATCCTGTGATGATCTCTTTTTAATGACAGACACCACATTAAATATTACTATCCTTTCACAATTGTCCACTTCGTATCACTTAGAACATTCAATATCTTAAAAACAGTGAGCCACATGAAGGCTTTACAATTACAGAACATCTTCCCAACACCAGAGTGCTCTACAGAAGATCTCAAAACATTGTCCCAGATGGCAAAACTGCATTATGGAGAGGTGGGGAAAAGACAGCAGCCCTTACTCTTACCTCTGCTCCCTGCTTCTTTTATGGTGAAAATGTGAGAAATGATCTACAAAGAATTCTGACAGGATAACTACCAAAAATGCTGACTTACAAAAGGTAACACTACTGAATTTTGGTTTTTACCTTGTAACTTTAATCACCTCAATTTTCTTGAAATCTAGTAGGTGTTTCTTTCCTTCATAGTGATTAAGAGGGAGCACTGCACAGCATGACAGATAGCAGAAGAAGAAGAAAAAAGGATAGGTCAGGAACTCAAGCCTGCAGGTGCACACATACTCATGTTCATCAAGATATTTGGCGTTAGGGAGGTCCCAGCACACACACACACACACACTCCATTTATTAGTTATCTGTTTCTGGTGTTATAACAAGGTTTTGCTTACACATACATTATCAACAAGCAAGAAAAGTAAAGCAACATATCCTAAGGAGTGGTAAAAGCAGGAGCTAATCTCTGAAGAGAAATTAAAGGTTACTGTATATTTTTAAAATCATCCAGATATATATCTTAATGTATAATAATGATCATAACAACTCTGATCTCACTCACGTCACCTGCGCAAAATAACTTTCAGTCAGTTTAAAAGTATGGAAAAATTCTGGGATGAAAACAAAAATCAAGCCAAATTAGTCATAAAAAGACAAGCTATAACTGCAGTGATGGGGCACCATAATTTCATTAAGATAGCTACCAGCTAGAGAGTATACACGTATATGGAAATTCAAGAAGCAGTATCAAATACATCAGACAATGAGCTGACTTGCACGTGGCTGAAGCCAGTAATAAAGTCTATCATTTTCTTCAACATATTTTTTAAATACTTGAACTTAATGAATTACCTGTATGAGAGGAGTACATCTTAATTTTTAAGTAACTAAGAGTGCTCCATGGGATGATTTTTGCTGGCCTCACTTTATTTATTTTTGAATTAGTAACAATGGGTTCAACAAGCTGAGATGCCCAAGCATGCGACTGCCTTCCCTGGTTAACCATTATAAAGGAAATTTGATTTACCGGATTATTTTGGGATGCTATAGTCTACACAACTGAGGAAAAGAAATTCTGTACTGTCTTAGAGAACACAGTTATGAAGACTATAAAATAACTGTTGACAGTTAATAAACCTGTGCCTCACACATGACACTGAAATATTTGAACTTTCAAAGAATTTATACCTTACATATTTTATAACAGAACATGTCATATTTTATGATCTAGTGGGGATATTTAATTAAAAATGAAAGATACTCCCTCTGCAATACCTAAGGATCTAAGTGAAGGGTGCTTTCAACTCATCTACTTTGCTTTTCTTATTACCACGTTTCTTGCTTGTTTCTTTGTTTTCTAATGAAACCTATGCAGTGAAACACAGTTCTATGCGAGGAAACTATATTTATAGTGTACATCAACAAAACCAGCATCCAATCCACAGCAATGCTTAGCCAGATATGACATGATAAATAACTGGAGAGCTTCATTTACAGCATTTCACCATAAAGTAAATCAATCACTTTGGAAAATAATAGACCTTCCAAGGCATATAGGCACATATGCCATAATTACCCTTTTCTATACTGTTTTGAAGCAAGAAATTCAATAACCTGTAAATACAAAGAATGCCACTGTTTCATTCTGCTTCAGTGACCAAGAGCACTTTCTAGAAATTCCCCAATGGGGAACATAAGTAACACAGTTGAAGAGAATAGTCATTTTAGAAACATGGCAACCACATCAAGCTACTTCTCACAGAGGGACAGGGCATCCTTCTTAAATAATATCAAACAAATACATGCTTTTCTACTAGGTATCCCCACTTACTGTAAATGGCTACAAAAAGGTTCATTACTAATGGGTAACAGTAAGTTTTTCTATGAAAGACATATGAATGACTATATTTAGAGGCTAAAAGCCACACCACTGTTGCTTTGTGGGGTTTTTTTTTGGCCACAAACAAAATTATTTTTAAATAAAAACAATGCCATACCCTAGGCCAGACCACTTAAATGCTCCGGAAGTGGTTTATCTTTCAACTAAGTCCATTTACACACCAAGAGAGATCCTGTCTTGCACTTCAACATGTTCAAAACTGGAAGTTAGAATGATTTGTGTGAGGGTTTTGTTTGCTTTTATATTCTGCCCTGTGATGAACTATGCTATTGCTCTTTTCCAAAAGTTTAGATACTGCCTGTCACTCATACTGAGATCCTACCAGCTTTACTATCTAAAGTGTACTTGTCTGCGTAAAATTACTAAACACCAGAACAAGTTAAAAAATCCTAGCTCCTGAAAGTATAAAAGCAGACCAACCCTAACTCCAGAACCAGAAGATAGTCTATACGTTGGAGTTGTTTATGGTACAGTCATCACTGATATATAACTTTGCCTCTTTGATCAAAGCTGTAGGCAGCACTGAAGCAGAGGAAGGCTGCTCGACTGAGCTGTGAAATACAGCTGTGCTGCTCAACTCCTTGTAAAAGCTGGAAAATGAACAGTCTTATACTAACAAAACTGCTTCTTTTTTTCTGTCAAGTTTGTCAGTCCTAGGAGCACTGTGGAAACAGAGGCAGGAATACTGATGGGCATTTTCATGTTTATATTTGTACATTAGCTTCTGAATGGATTTTGGCATGTTCTCAAAACAGAGTTTGTTCAGGGTACCAGGACAAGCCATATCCCAGGCAAAGGCATTTATACCACAAAGTTTAAGCACTTAGATGAAATGCTGGAGTTTGGAGGTAGTCTCCCAAAGTTCCCTCTGTGGTTGACAAAGGCAGAGGGAAGTTACCAAAAAGCAAGTTCAAAAAGAAGAGCTTAATGGAAGCACTGCAGGTATGCTTTCCTCTTCCGTTAAACATATGGGGAACCTGTCTGTCTTGAGTCCTGCACATCTCTCCAGAATCAGAAGTCACCTCACTTCAGCTGCCTAGATGTCATTTTACGATAGCAATGCTGATTTCCAGGCAAACGATCTGGAATTGCAGAGGTGAAATAGGCAATCATCTACAGTACAAATCTCAAGAGTACTACACAAACAGTCACAAACCCCAACACCACCCCCACCCCAAGATTCTCAGCTGTGCTTCTGAAAGGGGAATGCAGCTTTCCATACCAACAGAACTCTTGTTACTTCATCAGACTCATCAGGAATACAATAAGAAGGGGTTGGGGGGGGGGGGGGGGGGGGGTGCAAATCAAAGTCACAGCTGTTCCTCTCCAATAAAAATGCTGTCTATGTGGAATCAGCCCATAAACCATTTTCCCTAGGAAAAGGCTGCAAGCACTCTTGAAGCCCACACCAAGAATTTTACAAATGAGAAGTTTTTACAGTAAGGTAAGGGCCTGCTTTCCACTAAGTTTTAGCCAATATAAATGCAAAATTAGGCATCAGCTTTCAATGTAACACATGGTTCAACGGCTCATAACAAGAGGTGTAATTAAGCACACTTTCAGTTTTTGTCAGTGAAATTCCAAGATAATAAAACTGACAACTCGTGTTGGAGGGTCTTTTTGTCACAGTGGTGCTGTTGGGCTGATGAAGCTTATTAACAGCTTCTTTGCCTTGGCAGTGCAGTTAAGATTATTAGGTAGCTGTATATTTTTTTGAGCATGGATGGCATTCCAAAACAGAACGTGAAAACTTAGAAATTTGTCAAACCATTTATGTTTTATGACTTTTTTCCTTGTTTTGATACTTGTTGGATGCTGGAAGCCTACCAGCCATCTGAGCTAGGAAACCTTTGACCATTTCACTAGGGGAGGGAAACTTGTTCTCCCCCCCATTTCAGCTAACATACATCCAGGCTAACAAGTCAGTAGAACTAACTCAGCTCTGACACTCATCAATGAGATGAGGAACAGCTGACAGCTTGTGTTAAATACTTAATTGTTTTTCCTTTAAGTCCTGATGTACATTCTGTACTTATTGTCTGCATAATTTCCACATTTTAAAAAGACTGTGAAAAGAAAAAGGGTTGAAGGGCTTCTGAGAAGCTAGTAAGCTATTTTATTCATGTCCCAGATTGGAGGTCAGATATTAAATTCATACTTAACCTGCCCCTCTGACCCGTCACCCAGATTCAACTCCTCCTCTCAGAAAGAAAACTAGCAGTTTGAAATACAGCTGTAGAATATTTCAGATACCTCTTCTAGCTCACTGTGCTTGGGGCAGGGAACAGAGCCCCACTCTATGCCCTTTGGAAAGTGACCTTCTTTTCTTTTCTCAGAATCAGATGGGCCATCAGCAGTCATCTCCATCTCATCCATTTGGTTCTCCTCTTGCTCGAAACCACAGCAACTCGTTCCTTTCAGTTGAAAACCTCGGATCAACAGCTGACAGGCCTCCAAGTCAGCTTCCCACACTCTTTGGAGCAGCTGGCTCCCACAGCTGAAATAAAAGCCAAAAGAAAATAAAACTGCAGTTCAGGGAGAATAGTTGCTATTTCAAGAAACTTTTGGGGTGAGTGCTTATTATTAGTTAGGAAAATAAAAACAACAAAAGAACAACAGCAGCTCAAATGCTTCCACAGAGATAACACAAGTGATTTAAAACTGAAAAGCAGTAAAATTGTGGCCCTATTACAAAGCCAATACCATAAAAAAAAATCCCTTTGTGCTAAGATGTTGCTTCCAACTGTATGTTGTACACTGGCTATATGTGTCCTTCTCTGGATCAGACCAAAGACCAGGGTCCTGTGATCACAACCAGAGCTTCATTCATCCTACTGGATATACAGGCTCGTCACCCTAAAGGCAGTCATGTGGTTTTCCAAGATTTGATGTAGAACATCATGTACAAACAATCGCACTATTCATTGCATTAAATCAGCTCTAAGTTTTGGAAAATATATACACTGTATTTCTTGTTAGGCTGAAACTTGCTTACTTCAACTCCTGTGAATTTGGTTAGATCAAACTGTAATACCCTTACTTCCCCGCAGCCTTATACTTGTGTGTATTGTCCTTATCTCTCACTATTTTGGTTTTTATTTCTTTGTTATCCCACCAAAGAAAAAACAAAAGCATTACAAAATTCAAAATATCCAACTTCCTCATACCTTTAAGCTACTGATCATCTCTCAGAGATAACCCACTTATGTTACAAATACTGCTCCTGAGATCCATCCAATAAGTATTTCCACCTGAAGTAAATGGGAATTCTAGGCATAGATAGTTTATCAGAACAAGACACCGATTACTAAGATCACACTGCTCTCAAGAGATGCGGTCACATCTTCATTTAATACATGTTGTCTCTAAGGGCCAAAGATTAGGTTGCCTGCTAAAATATAGCAGATAAGTGGCAGAGGCCAGGATGGGCCTGAAAAGCACCGAGTCTCACGGCAGTACACACTTCCAGACAGATTTCAAGGCTAATATCTAATAACCTCAGTTTTTCACAGTGCTTTTCAAATTATATTGTTTACTATATAATTGTAAGGATTATAAGTGACTAAAAAAGGAAAATAACTATTTAATTTCAGCTTTTCTGACTAAATTAAATACCAGCTTATCTTTCATTCTAAATGAAAGAGATAAAGGAGCTGCACTGTTCACACTGATTTCATTAACCTAACAAAGGTACATTTTTAACCCTACAAACTCTACAAGATGTCAAGCTGTAAAATTCACACAGCAATATTCTGAGACTGAGAATAAAATTATGCTCCAGAAGCTGAGCTTTTTCATTTGTGCTTAGAGTCAGTATATATGTTTATTGAAGGCAGAATTCAGCATGAGGTCCACAAATTGGTCTCCCCCAAGGAGTTCAGAGTATTGCTAATTAGAAAGGAAAAAAAACCTTCACTAGATTACATCTGTGTTCCATCCAGGTAGCATTTCACCTATGAACCCAGAAAAACAATATACCCTCCACAGTTTTCTCTACTTGTCAGTCACATTATCATGGTTACACAGCCAAAACATTTCCTTGCAGACATACATAATCCCATTTACTTATTTTTTGAAAAAGTTTGCTTGCGGCTATATATGGTTTATTATTATAGGCTTCGAAAAGACACTAGAAACCTAAATCATGATTTCCAGTGGATACCTTCTTTTGGCTATTCAATTTAACAGAGAGCTCTACTGACAGAGTAGGTAGGGCAGAGATAGTGATGTATGCAGAATTCACAGTGGACAAAATGGATAGCAAATATATATAAATATATATATATGTACAGAGCAATGGTCCCTGGGCTGCTGTTATTGGGCCATGTCTCACCTCATCGGTCAACAACTGACACCTGTTTTAGTAATCCGAAGTTACTGAACATACCACTAATAGCTTACTTTTAGTTTAAGAATAGCTTTGTTTTACCACCATATCTGTAAAACTCTGATACATCTTAAACGAAGACACTGAGATGTTAGGATGAACTTTTAAATTTTATCAGTGAATGCATATGTACTTGGCTATACTAAACTTATATACCCAAGCCCAAGAACCCTGCATCTTTTAGTCTGTGTTTGAAATTCAGTGCCTAAAAGCATTTTTCAAACACACTTTTTGAATGAAAATTACTTGAAAGCTGCAAGCAGCTGACAAACACATACAGAAATTATTCAAAATTATGTTGTTACCAGCATGCAAAAATCTTTAGGCTTTTACATCAGGTGTGAAATCAAGCTCAATTGAATTTCAGAGTTTGGTTTATTCATGTTCAATCCACACTAAAAGTGCATTTGCAGCCTCCATGAAGCCAAAAATATGTGGATGCTTTTACTGAATAAAGTTTTTTCATATATGCAACTTTTCAAAATGATGGATCAAGACTGGATCAGATTTTGCATTATTCCTATACTTATAAATATTTTATGATATATCAACCTCTGGGTGTTATATGCCTGTCTGTATTTTACTAACAAAGTAACATATGTGGCAAGATCAGTGGAGGTGCCAGGATCAATTTGCTGGAATCCACAGCAAATCACAATCCACCAACCATTTACAGACCCAGCAACAACAAAGCATACCTTAATCACTTACAGACTCTGAACTTCCAAGTTCACATGAGTGCTCATGAGTACAAAGTGCCAGGCTTTGTACAAGATACAGATGAGGATGTTCAAAGAAACAGAGACAACAGTGGACTGAACATGGCACGGTAGTTACAGTACAATGGTTTAATTTGTTACATCAGTGACTAATTAGTCTAATCACTGTCAAGCACACTGAGGTATCACAGTGAATGAGCATTTTAAGGCCCGAAAGGAGGCCATGAAACAGATCAGTGGATATCCAAAATCTTCACCCTTCCATAAAGGAATCATGTAAGAAAAAAGCAAAAAAGAGCAAAAAAGAGCAAAAGAGGTTAGTATAAAAATGCAATGGGCAAGTGATTGATACCAATGTGGTTTAATAAAAAAAAAAAAAAGAACAAAAGGACTGAGTAGGTGGTAAAAGACTGTGAGAAGCCTTGACACTGAAAGCTAGCAGTTACACGTGATGTGACAGGACAGAGGGAACCAATGGAGAAAAGCAAACAAATTGAAATGATCAGAAACACAGAACTTAAGGGAAAAAGAACAGTCATTGCAGTGTCAACAGCTCTTTGAATGGATGAGAGTAGGGCAGGACTGCTTTTGTCAAGTCACGGTCAGGGAAATGGATGCTGCAGTAAGATGCAAGACTCAACCCGAGTAATTTTTTTAGCTGATGGATAGCTGGAACAGGTTTTATCTCAAGGACACTATGCATAAAGAATCTACAAAAGCAGGCCTAAGTTGACTTGAAGAATGGCCAACACATCCACAGCAACACAAAAGGATGCAGCAGGGAGTATTCTGGATTAGGTCAAGTTGATGATGATGAAAGAGCTGCCAGAGAAATTGAGATGTTTATGGACAGGAGGAAATGAATGCAGAACAGAGAGGTTTATCCTTGAGTTTTCTTCATAAAGCAGCAAATGAAATTGTAATTGCAGATGCCTTTACCAAGATTCAGGTAGTCTTCTAGGAAACAACACCGGAGAACAGAGGGTAAAAGGAAACTAGAGGTTATCTTCAATTTACATGTCACATTGGGTGAAATTCATGCCAAGAGTCATATCCAACAAGGATTCTCTCTCTTCCTTGAAATCCAAAGGATATTGCTTCTCTGTCTTTTCACAATATTCTCAAAGATACCAGTGGGGACTCTCTATGTGTCTCTCAGCACAACATTATTATAAAGCTATTTATAGTACTAACTGGAACTAGGAGAACATGACTTTCCTATTGAGGGCCCTGCATACATACAAAAGGCACATTCAGTTCCTGAACACTACAGCCTAAATAAAAACATGCCCATGTAAAAATAGCAGAGGCTTTTATATTAAACCCTATTGAAAAAAAAGACAACCAACAAACCCAAAAAAACTAAAAGCCACCAAACAAAAAAACAACAAAACAAAAACCAAAACCACACACACACAAAAAAAACACCCCCCCAAAAAAACCTCCCCCAAAATCTCTTCAAAAGCAAACTAGAATCAGCCATGGAGATGGCACTACTTTAAATTTCACCATCTCTAGTGCCCCTTGGTGACTGAATTGTTAAAAGTGGTTTGTAACACCCTGAGATCTACTATGTTGGTAGAAAAAGTTGCTTAATTTCACAGGAAATGCCTGTAAGACACATCTTGAAAGCCAAGAGAGTGAGTCTGAAGCTAAAAGGCTACATCATAAGACATCTATTTAGAAACTGCATAAACAAAAGCCAACTTACGCGGTGAAAGTAAGCATCACTAAGAAGAAATACTCTAGACATAGAGGGGAGCCACTCCAAGGTGCAGATTCAAGAAAGTATGAACTTACCTTTTCCCAGTACCTAGCACTCATGTTAACACTGCATTCACTGAACATAAAGGTGGTTTTCTCTCACAAGGAAGCAAACAAAATGCAACAAAACCAGCCTGGTAGAAAGCCAGGGATTTTCATTACAACAATTAAATTATTGGAAAGTTTTGAGGCTTGCAGAATCAAAAGACTTTATTCTATATTCCTATTCTTTGTCACTCTATTGTACAAACTAGGGAAAGTTTATATTTTGGTCACCCACTTCTATTTATATTTTACAGAAAAAGGAAGGAACTAGCTTTTCTTACTCTAAATTTAGTTATGCCTTTGTTGCCGTTTCTTAAGGCAACAGCCATGCAGTGAACAAAGGAGGCAAGGGAAAGACAGTATGGAATAATAATACTTGAAGGAAGGAAGAAAACCATATTGCTTTACTGGTAGCAGAAATCCACCCCTCTTATTTGGTTTATCACATTAACTCAGAGTCATGCATTAACAGCCCTTCTTAGATTTAAGAAAGAAGTATTTACTACTTCAGGAATAAGTTTGCCTTTCTCCTTCATTTAAAAAAAAAAAAAAAAAAAAAAAAAAGAAGAGGTTTCCAGCCTG